CACCAGCTGTGTCATTGGGGGAGCGGACAGGTGTTAAATGATTTGAGGTGCCGGCTTTAATGCTGGCGTTAAAGACAGTGTGCTGTGAAATCTCCAAAATGGGAACAAATCTTGTGGAATGTAGTAGAAGAGTGAGTGTTCCCAAGGTTGAAGCGAAAATATGTGGCTTTCAGAACCTCTTTAAAATTGTGTGGTATCACTATGTTTCAGGAAGCTCTGTGTTGTAGAGAAAAATTCTGACTGGACATGCCAGAAATTGAGCCTGGGGAATTAGAGATTTCTTTTTATGAATATAATCCTTGATATTTATACCTTGTTAGAGATGCCAGGAGGATATTCTTTCAGAAACCAGATTGGAGGCTTCTAAAATAGAGAAGATAGAGGACATTTTTCTTTTAGATGATGTAAGTTGCTTCAGAGAAAACTGGAAGATGAGTGAGTGGATTAGAAATGGATCAGAGCTAGTTTCTCTTTTGTCAGTAGTTTTTCAAATTTTAGGGTAGTTGAAATCCAAGTATAATTTGTAATGTTGAACCAGTAATAATAGTATCTGGGTAGTATTTTATGTACATTATATACAGATATAATTGTGATGACAATTCACGATAATATTCGAATATTAGTATTTTCTCCATTACATAGATGAAGAAATAATTTGTAATGTTGAACCAGTAATAATAGTATCTGGGTAGTATTTTATGTACATTATATACAGATATAATTGTGACGACAATTCACGATAATATTCGAATATTAGTATTTTCTCCATTACATAGATGAAGAAACTGAGGCTGAGAGAAATTAGATAATTTAACAAGCTCACACAACTGCTATGTGGGGAAGCCCAGACTCAGTGCTGGTCTTCAGCTCATTCTCTTATGCCTAATTGGAATAAATAGCAGTCTCCATGTTCAAGAATCAAACCAGATTCTGTGGACATAAGACCACATCTCTTATTTTCAGATATGTTAACTATCCAGGTTCTCCTGAATCATGTCAGTCATCTGAACTTCTTTCTCCTGCCCTCTAGATTTATCTTTACATTTTGTGTGGTACATGACATTTGAGGGAAGGATATCTACAAAAAGATGATGGGAATAGACTTTGCATGTGTCTAATAAAGGTGGTTCCATATTTTTGCCTTTTTTTTTTTTAACTTCTAATTCTAATCTGTGAGGAAAAAGGGAGGTGTGGATATGGTGCATATCAGTGCACCTGGAGACTGTAACGCTATATCTAAAATATTGGGCTAGATGTTATTTGGACCTAAATCAAGGAACACGAAGCTAAGGAAAATATGACAATCATTGATATTTTAGACAACAACTACTACAAGTAGGATGCTAATGGCTTTCTGGTCTATTCTGCTGTTTGTAAGTTAGACTGCACATTCTTTCTTTCATTCAGTATTCATTCATTAGTTATTAGGTTATAAATAGCATGAATAATAGATAAGTTATTGTTAACAGGTAAAAGATACTTTAAAAAGTAGAATCCACTTTTACAAGGCAGATAGAACGTCTGCCTTATAGAGACTTTTGAGCTCAAAAGCTTGAGGTGTCTCCTACTGTCAGTATCATCCAGAAAAACACTTTATAGATCTCTCATTTATGAATTCAATAAACTTGAGGAAGAAAAGTGGGTAATGGTGTAAAGCAAAAACCTTGAAATTAGGAGAAGCTTCCTCTTAAAGGGAAGAAGAGTGGTGGAGAAATGGAGGGGAACCAATGACGGCACCCTCATTGCGCTTCATATTAGGTAATTTCTTTTTCTTCTTTTTTTTTTTTTTTTGAGATGGAGTCTCGCTCTGTCGTCCAGGCTGGAGTGCAGTGGCCGGATCACAGCTCACTGCAAGCTCCACCTCCCGGGTTTACGCCATTCTCCTGCCTCAGCCTCCCAAGTAGCTGGGACTACAGGCGCCTGCCACCTCGCCCGGCTAATCTTTGTATTTTTAGTAGAGACGGGGTTTCACCGTGTTAGCCAGGATGGTCTCGATCTCCTGACCTCGTGATCCGCCCGCCTCGGCCTCCCAAAGTGCTGGGATTACAGGCTTGAGCCACCGCGCCCGGCCCCATATTAGGTATTTTCTAAATGAGGGCATTAAAGGAGCAAGAAAGAAATGTTAGTATCTGGAAGCTCCCTAAGTGTGAGAAATAAACAAACCAAAGTGAAACAAGCACAAAGCAGTTCTGTTTGCTAATTGCTTTGTGGGCTTTCTCCAGGGCATCCAGCTCCATCTCCCATTTGGCGTCATGCTGCCCTGGGTCTGCTAACTCTTTGCCTGATGTTGCTGATTGGGCTGGTGACGTTGGGGATGATGTGTAAGTAAATCCGCATCGAACCCAACAAAAGCAACTAGAAAACATATTTGTAAACCATGTGTAATCAGCTTGGATTGCAGATGGGTCCTAGCATCCTGAATCCTCTGATACTTTTCTGCTGTCTCATATCTCTCCTATTTGTCATATCTTCCCAATAAACCGGCAAAAGACATTATCAGGATGTGGTTCTAAATTCATTGTTTTATCTTGATAAGCTAAACTGGACTTAAATGAAGACTCTTTGTTTCTAGTTATTCATTAGGATAAAGAGCCTCTTTTCTGCCTAGACACACATTCACTTATCATTCCAAGGCTGAGAAATAAAGTCAAGAAATATGTACTGAAGGAAGTGCATGCTATGTTATTTACCGGGAAGACTTAGCACTAGACTAGGCTCAGTCTGCTTACATGAGACTTCTCTAGTGGAGAGAAATCTTCCAAGTAGCAGCAGCAGCCTGATTTCTATGAATGAGAAAGACATATAAACAAGGAGGAAGAATGGCCTGATACACTTTACCAACTAAGAGAGTTGAACCATCTCCACATGACAATGGAAGCTCCACTCTCAAGCACCACGGCCACAAAGTAACGGTCTATTGATTCTGACCCATCCTTGGGCAGTTGGGGATGAACATGGTAGGGAGTTCTTGAGTAATGAGGAAAACATCCTGAGAATACAAACTTTATAGAGTTGTTAAGTGTATGGTATACAGAGTAGTGAATTGGCATGGTATTCACTTACAGGGAACTCATAGTCAAGAAAGTTAATTTGCTGAATGATACTAACATCTCCTCTGCCACATTCATTTCTTTTTAATAATTTAATGGATAATTTTTTAAGATTTAATTGATAATGAGGATTTGGACATATCTTTGTCAACATAAAAAGAGGTTAATAGTGTACCTTGCTCTTTTGAAAAGGAATATGATGTTCAAGCAGCAGTGACAGATATTCTGGAGCCAATCAGTATGAGATTAGCAGCTGATCTTCTACAATAATGTATATTTAAAAATTAAGTGAAAATGCAATAACATATGTCCATTGGTTTGATATAGAAGGGTGACATTTCTTTTCTAAAATTTAGTGCTTTTGGTGCAGTGGTTCTTAAATTTGTTGTGCTGATGAAGCACCTTAAATGCTTATGAAAAGGGCGTATTTCATGGACCCATGACCAGAAATGGTCTGATGTGCCATTAAGATCTGCTTTTTTTAACCTTTTGGTAAACAAGCATCTCAGGTCATCTGCAGAGTTTGCGATATCCATTGTCCCAAAGAATGCTGTTTTCATTAAAACAACAATTACATCATCTATCTCCAAATAAAATAAAACAAAAATAAAATAATTTCACGAAAATGAGTGGCAGAATGACTGGCCCTTCCTTAGATGTGATGTCAGAAATACATAATTATTAAATCATTATTTTAATATAGTGTAATAATAAAAATGTAAATAAAATTTAAAAGAACTATAAATAATTTGGAATAGAAAGGCATCTGGTTTGTTTCTTGCATGATACCTCAAATACTAAGAGCTACTAGTGAATCGTGAACAATTAAGAAATGTTTCTGTCACAAGAATTGTCTACAGTTATGAGAATAGAAGAACATATGAACTTGTCTCCTGTCATGTCTTGGAGTTTTGCAGATATCTAATGACATTAACTCAGATTCAGAGAAATTGAGTCAACTTCAGAAAACCATCCACCAGCGGCAGGATAACTTATCCCAGCAACTGGGCAACTCCAATAACTTGTCCATGGAGGAGGAATTTCTGAAGTCACAGATCTCCAGTCTACTGAAGAGGCAGGAACAAATGGCCGTCAAACTGTGTCAAGAGCTAATCATTCATACTTCAGGTAATCAGACTTAGACCTGCTGACCAGTCAGATGGCATATGTCGCCCTGGTCTAAGTTGATCACATGCACCACCTCAGAGTATTGAGAGAGAGATGTCATCCAATGAACCTCAATGATGTTGCACCAAATTTACAGACAGCAAGGAAATATACAAATTCATTTAATATTTTTGAAGCCACAGGCAAATTTGGGAAGTATCTTGGAATGATACCAATCCAGATACTTCAACCCCTCATTTCATTAACTATTTCTAGGTGATCCTGTTGTTATGAAAGCTTAAAAGCACAGCTGGTAATTCTGAAGCCAGAAGACTAAGCCCTGAAAAGAGAATCCCTATTGCCCCAACCCATAACCAGGGGTCACCTTATTTTCAGAGGCTTCTAAAGCAGTATGCTTTCAGGGTGCTGACTCTCAGAAGCTATTGTTCAATTAAATGATTTTGTTTCAAAGCCTTCTCCAGTCACTCCAGGGTCATTCCATTTATATTATTGGGTGTAATTTCCTTTTCAGACCACAGATGTAATCCATGTCCTAAGATGTGGCAATGGTACCAAAATAGTTGCTATTATTTTACAACAAATGAAGAGAAAACCTGGACTAACAGTAGAAAGGACTGCATAGACAAGAACTCCACCCTAGTGAAGATAGACAGTTTGGAAGAAAAGGTAGGATTGAGTCTCTTTCTCTAGTTATAGACATTATCTATACAATGAGAGAGAAATAAATAAAATATCTGATTCACATGATGGAAATTCAGTGCATCTTGAATTAGAATTAATAAATGAATTTAATGAATGTTCTCATCTATCTTAACTCTGCAAACTGGAATGTGGCACTCACATAAAACTTTTTTCTGTTTTCTCAGAATTTTCTTACGTCACAGCCATTACTGATGTTTTCATTCTTTTGGCTGGGATTATCATGGGACTCCTCTGGCAGAAGCTGGTTCTGGGAAGATGGCTCTGTTCCCTCTCCATCCTTGTACGTCTCTAACTATTGAGGGTAAACACAAGCTTTCCATGGAATCCTGGGAAAATTAATAATGATTGTGAGAATTATAAATACAGACATAAAAAGAGGAGTACAACATACTGAGAAAAGAGCTCCAGTAACAAATATTGAAAGGAGGTATAGTTTATTTCATCTCTGTGACAAATTTATGGCAAGGCACTGAACTTTATCTTTTGGTAGAAATGTGTTTATTTAACACACACACACCTAATACTACATTCAAAGTATTTTATAAATATTAACCTTTGAAGAAAGCACTGTTACATTCCCACTTTATAGGTAGAAATATTATCACAGAGAGATTAAGTAATTTGCCTGAGGTCACTCAGCTCATAAATTGCACTTTAGGGACTGTGCACTCAGTCACTCAGCTGTTGTGATTCTCCATCACCTCCAATCCAAAAGGGTACTGCTGGTCATAAGAACATACATCAACACATTTATTTATACAAAATAACTGTCAACTATTTTCTAACAAAAAGTAAGACTGAATTGACTGATTAGTTCAAGAATTAGTGTCATGTTGAGGACTTGCAAATTACAACATATGGATGGCAAGTGTCTTTTATGAATTAAAATGAACTAAACCTTCACTTCAAGGTTTGGATGAGAATATTTAAAGGACAAATAGAATATATAACACTTGGAAACTTTCAATTTTTTTAACTGTTTAAAGTTATGAAAAAATAGATGTCAACAAAAATGTGTAAGGGGATATTAGGTTTGCTAAATTATTTCACAGATGATAAAAAAAAATTTTGAGGAACACCTCTCATCATAAATACATTTAAATGAAACTGTATTAATATTTTAAATATAATAGTGTTTTTATATTAGATAAAATTTAAGATCATTGGCATCTTAATGGATTTTTAAATTTTTTATTGATACATAAGAGTGCATATGTTTTGGGGTACATGAGATAATTTGATACATTCAGATAGTGTGTAAAGATCAAATAAGTGGAATTGGGATATCTATCACTTTAAATATTTATCTTTTCTTTGTGCTAGGAGCATTTAAATTATTATTTTCTCATTATTGTGAAGTGTACAGTAGATTATTGTTAATTGTATTCACCCTAATAATCTATCAAACACTAGGTCTTACTTCTTCTAACAAGATATTTGTATCCATAATGGCTTTTTATCTACCTTCCTCCCCCAACAAATAATTATCCTCCGCCCTCCCTCCTGTTTCACTCTTTAAAGCATGTTGTCAGTTTTCTTAAACTGAATAATAATCACTCATCTTCTGTCAAAGATGCCACGCTTCAGCTGTGACTCAGCAATTCCTTAAATCACAAACAATGCTAGGTCTGTTACTTTCTCCCTGGATACACTTTATCTTCATCCATTTCCCAATGTTTCATTGTGGCTACTTCTACTCAAACACTAATCCCCCATTCTCTAATCACCATTATCAATCATATCAAGTCAACTAGTCTGGTTTCACACTAATAATAATGACAAAAAGCACATGCAGAGTAATATACAAACAAAAAAAGTGACAGTTACTCTTCGTGATGAGAGCAATACTCTCATGAACTGATTAATATTAATCTGAGGTGTTGCTACTAGACTGAGGGTTTCCAGGAGTAGTACCATGACATCATGTAAACACATTCCGTGTTGGAATCTAAGATGTGTCCGTTCTCCCAAAGGGATTTTAATCATCCTTGGCCTCTCTACTCACTCTTAATCAAAGTGTGAGGGAGGTGGCCCCCACAGCAGGGTTCGGAACTTACAGACCCTGGCCCCGAGACATGCAGCTGTCAGATAAGCCAGCATGTCAAACTCAGGTTAGAGAGACTGAGCTTCCAGATTGTAGAACCATTTCCTTGACTACTGAGTAAAAGCCCAGGCTAAGATTTAGAAAGCCTAGCCCTGAAGCAAGAAAAGAATATGGCAGAGTAATGCAGGTCATTTAGGAAAAAACAATGTTGGGCACACAGAAAATTTAGACCTGACAAGTATAATTTTCTAAAGAGATTATTTCAGGGTTAACATCACTTTCTTAGCAGAGGAAGTGAATACTATTGTCAGCACCATATCTATATAGTCATTCATTTCCTCTTTTAATGTCTGTCTGGTTCTCTTTTTACCCACCGCATATGTATAACTATGTGAAAAGTTATATTTGTGCATAGTAAAATGTGATAGCTTTTTATAACAGAACGTGATTTTATTTTTATGTTTTTCTTCATAAAGTCCCAGAGAACTTCAAGTACTTCTAATATAAGCTGAACTGAGTAGCTTTCATTAATGGAATTCCATATTTCTGAAGGACATACAAATTCTCAGCCCAGGATTTAAGTATTTTCTTAAAGAATTCTACCCGGGATCATGATTAACTTAAAATAAAGAACCCAGATGTGCCAGCTCTAGGCAGATTTTGTGCCAGTTTTAGGCAGCTTCAGAGTTTGAAGGTTTGTGGAGGCAGAAGTCTCTCAATATTCAGATACATGACATTGGCTGTAAGAGCAACTGAGAGCACTAAATAGTGATCATGTTTCAAATATAGAATTTATAATACATTTCAAATTAATTTTCAGATTTAGTACTAAAGAACTGGACCAGATCAATGGATCCAAAGGATGTGCTTATTTTCAAAAAGGAAATATTTATATTTCTCGCTGTAGCGCCGAAATTTTTTGGATTTGCGAGAAGACGGCCGCCCCAGTGAAGATCGAGGATTTGGATTAGTATGCTTCTTCCAAATTCTCCAAGAAGTAAGAGACTTGGAGAGGAAAGAGGAAACTACGGTACCAGAGCCAAAACCAGCTTTTAAAATGACTGTGTATTTACATCATCAGACGAATGAACTTGTTTAACAAACATTCTCCAGTTCCTTGTCTGACATCTTCTGATTTGATGTTATTATTCAGTCTTACAATTATCCCTGGGGACCAAGGGGAATAGCCATACTATGGCTTTATGATTGTCTCAGAATCATTTCACTGAATTTCTTTGCTTTCTCAAATAAAGACTCCTTTCTTACATTATTATTATATTGTCACGTGTGCACTAGGGTGATATTTAAATATTTAAAAACTAGGGTGATAATTAAATATTTAAAAACACAGGCCACAGCACTAGAACAAGGTCCAAGAGACGCCTGTTGTGATAGTTGCTGGATCATGTGGAGGTCTGGGGGATCCCAGGCTAAGGATCCTGGTAGCTGGGGCTGCAGCACTGTATCAACTGATTTGGAAATATTTTATTTTAGCAAATGTTTGTACCACTGTGAACCAGCTAAGTGTCACCCTGCACTTGCAAAATAACTTTTCTTCTCCAACAACCCTATGAAAATAAGTATTTTTATTAATCTTTAAAATTTAGGTAACTTGTAATCTAGGTGAAGAAGCATAAGCATTTAATATTTACTTTTTTTTTTTTTTTTTTTTGAGACAGTGTCTCACTTTGTCAGCTAGGCTGGAGTATTGTGATGTGATTGGCTCACTGAAGCCTTGATCTCCTGGGCTCAATCAATTCTCCCACCTCAGCCTCCAGAATAACTGGGATTACAGGCATGCAACACCATGCTCAGCTAATTTTTGTATTTTTTTGTAGAGACGAGGTTTCACCATGTTGCCCAGGCTGGTCTCAAACACCTAAGCTCAAGCTATCTGCCAACCTCAGCCTCCCAAAATGCTGGGATTACAGGTGTGAGTCACTGCCCCTGGCCAATAGTTATATGTTTATCATTTATCTAAATTAGTAATATTGATGTTACTGATTTTGTAATCTGGGCGTTATTATAAAAATATATTCTCTTACAATTGATATTTTGTTTCCCTCAGAAAAGTCTTAATAAACTGTTTGAAGACATCAAAATATAAAAACCATTATCTTTAATTATTTAGGCCTTTCCTGAATCACAGTTTGTCAGTGTTCCTGCACACTAGATGCTAAATATTGTAAATCTAGGGTTTAAGATTTTTCCTGGAACAAAATTGCTGATTTCAGAATACTGGTAAAGGATATAGTTTTCCATTTATCCTCACATCATTCCATAGCTATATGTAGGCAGAAAATAATGGTGAAATTAGCCTTTGATACTGATTTTGCTAGGTCAGAAATCTAGAATTTACTGGAAAATTGATATAATCCAAGTTCAAAGTTAGATGCATTTCAGTACTTTGACAGTCCTTTGAAACTACAACTTCATACATACCATCTAGTAGCTTCTCATTCTCTAAATATTTAAAATTATGAACTAATCAGTGTTTTATATATGCACCAACAGAAACTATAGAATAAAGGAAAAATGTCAATGTGAAAATTTAGTAAGAATTACAAACAATATATTTAAGCACAACTTTTGAAATACAGACAATTATCATAGTTCAAGTAAATAGAGTCTCAGCTCTTATACAGGATTCAAACATAAGTTACATACACATGGATTAAAGAAGAAACTTGATTCTTTCATTTCTCTTTAGCAGTTTGCCCCTGGCATTCTCACAAAGATAAAATTATTTACTAAAGTTCAAAATCTCTGCCTCTGACTCCCACACATTTGGGTTTCATTTTATTCCCAGGAGAAAAATAACTTCTTTCATTCCTCTATTTCTAATAAGAAGATCTACTTTTAACAATTAGAATACCTTAATTGGTTATTTTGTTCCTATTAAGAAGTTATAGGTTTTTTTCTGGTATATTGTATGTTTTAATTCTTATTTCATGTAAACTCTTTTATACTCACTAAAAGTTCTGTTTATGACCTCACAGTGCCCTGGATCTTGATCAGCTCTTATTACTAAGAGCCTCCTCCTTGCTGCCGTGCTATCATCATGTTATCCCTGACGGCCTCTACAGTAGATGCACAAATCCAGAGTTCTCAAGATACATTAGCCATTTGTGTCAGAATGCTTCATCTTTTGATTCTGGTAACTTAGCTTATGAGACAGGGCTTGTTTCCAGAAATTTTCATCTCTTTCTTTTTCTTCTCTCTTCCTTTCCTACTGCCCCCAACACCCTCTCCAGTCAAAATCCCTGAGATATTTTATTTATATATACAGGTATGTGCAAATGGTATATTTTTAGGGGAAAGATCATTGATATGGTTTGGATCTGTGTCCTTACCAAATCTCATGTCGAGATGTAATCCCCAATGTTGGTGGTGGTGCCTGGTGGGAGGTGACTGGGTCATGGGGGTAGATTTCTCATGAATGGCTTAGCACCATCTTCTTGGTGCTGTTCTCATGATAGTGAGTTCTCACAAGATCTGGTTGTTTAAAAGTGTGTAGCATCCCCCCAACCCCCACACCACACCATCTATCCTGCTACTGCTCCAGCCATGTGAAGTACCCACTCCTCCTTCATCTTCCATCATGACTGTAAGTTTCCTGAGGCCTCCCTAGAAGCCCAGCAGTTTCCAGCATCATGCTTCCTGTACCACCTGAAGAACTATGAGCCAATTAAACTTTTTTCTTTATAAATTACCCAGTCTTGAGTATTTCTTTATAGCAATGTGAGAATTTAATGTGGGTTCCAAACCTGGCTTCACATCAAATTTACACAGATAGTACCTTAAAGGCACAGATATTTGTGTCACACATCAGATCTATAAAATCAGAATGGTTGGAAGACAGAAATGGAGAATCTGTAAGTTTCTCAAACTACACAGGTGATTTTTATTAACTCAGCCTGAGTGGCAATGTTTGGATAAATAACATCAATACTACCTCCCTGAGCAAACAGGCCCAGAGACAAAGGTGCTGGAACCATCTTCAAATTGGATGGCTCTTTCTGCAATGTTAGAAAAATTAGTTTGGTTTGTGCAGACCACATTAGCTCAGGACAGGTCAGAATTGGGACAGATGTAGTGACAATTCTCAGCTATTTCACTGTCATAATCTTAGCCAACAGCCCTTACTGAAGGTATTAATTGGCATGGTTAGGATGGACAAGTGATATGAAGTTTGATCTATCTAGTTCTTTGAAAATAGTTTTCAATTTTGCTGCACACTGAAATTATACTGGGGAGCTTTGAGGAAATACTGATGTCTAAGATTGTCCCACCTCTTAAGATGCTGATTTCATTGATGAGAAGTGTAGCTGGATTATTAAAAAAAATTAAAGTTTCCTATATGATTCCAATGTGAAGCTAAGGTTGAAAATCCTTGTACTGAGGTAGGCCCAATGGCCCTTATTCCAGCAAAATAGCCAACCCTCCATTATATATTAAGAAAACAAGTGAACTAGCTCCATTGGTGATGAATACACATGGTTGAGGCAGGGACAATAGTGTTGATGGCACATTCGAGGCTGCATACAAACATATATAATCATACTTGTATATATTTGTACTTACATGCAGAAGGATTTAGACACATTAGTTTTCCTCAGGGTAGGTATGATGGAGTCAAATTGGGCAAGAAGGGGAGATGATACACTTTTGGAATGAGAATCCACTGTGAAGCTGAGGACTGAAAACAAGAGGCAGATTATAAACAGGTGGCCAAAATTAACAATGTGGTCCTCAAGCAAATGTAATTTTTTATTCCACAGGTATATTAGTTTTACTGAACAAGTAACTACAAGTTGTACACCTGTCTGTCTGACTTCCTTTCCTTCCTTCCTTCCTTCCTTCCTTCCTTCCTTCCTTCCTTCCTTCCTTCCTTCCTTCCTTCCTTTTCTTTCCCTGCCTCCCTCTCTCCCTCCCTTCCTCCTTTCTTCTTTCATTCTTTCCTTCCTCTCTCTCTCTTTCTCTCTCTCTTTTTCAGGGTATATAACAATATAAATATAATAAAACACATCTCTATGCTATGGAATATTATTTAGCCTTTAAAAAGAAAGAAGCCCTGCCACTGCAGCAACATGAATAAATATGGAGGATGTTATGCTAAGTGAAACAAACCAGATACAGAAGGACAAATACTACATGATACCATTTGTATGAGGAAGTTCAAATAACCAAGCTCATAGAAGCAGATGGTAGAATGGTGGTTGCCAGGGATTAGAGGAGAGGGAAATGAGGAAGTATTAGCCAAAGGGTAGAAAGTTTAGTTACACAAGATGAATAAGTCCTAGAGATCTACTGTACAGCATAGTGCCTATGGACAACAATACTATATTATACATTTAGAATTTTCTAAGAGGGTAAATCTTATGTTGTGTTTTTATCATACAAAAATAATAACAATAAATAAAGAGGGTGAGAGGACTTTTCAAGATAATGCCTATGTTTATGGTACACATTGTTGTGATGGTTTATTTACATGTGTATACTTATCTACAAACATTAAGTTGTATATATTACATATGTACAGCTTTTAAATATCCATTATATCCAATAAAGTGTTTTTTAAAGAAGACATACTTATGAATAAGGCAAGCAAGTAGGGATGGCATTCCTAGTGGCTTCAAATCAGCCAACATCAGACCAGCAACAGAGGCTATGAAGGGAAATAGCAATACATAAGGCAAGAAAAGTGCCTCATCTTGAATTATAGCTCCCATAATCTTCACATGTCATGGGAGGGAACCAGTGAGAGGTAATAGAATCATGGGGGCGAGTTTTTTTCTGTGCTGTTCTCATGATAGTGAGTAAGTCTCATGAGATCTGAGGGTTTTATAACGGGGAGTTTCCCTGCCACCATGCAAGACATGACTTTGCTTCTCCTTTGCCTTCCACCATGATTGTGAGGCCTCCCCAGCCATATGGAACTGTGAGTCAATTAAACCTCTTTTTTTTATAAATTACCCAGTCTTGGGTATGTCTTTATTAGCAGCATGAGGACAGACTAATACAGTAGACCAAAAAAACTACATTTTTAATCATAAAAGGAATGAAAATTACCAAACAATGTCTCCTAAGGGATGTAAGGGCATCCTGGTTATAAGAATTCTAACAGGAATTCCAACTCATTTTTTAAAATGAGTAATTTTTAATTTTCTAGTAATGCATATTTCAGTACACACATTTTCCCAGTATTTGAAATTGCATAGATCTCGCTTAATAATAGACCAGAACTTACAAATTTAGTCTTAGGTAGTTTGTAAGAGACGTAAACTAATATCATACCAGGTATTACAATCCTGGCAAAAAATAAGCTTACCGTATTTCAATCACTTTCATTATAGATTATCTGTATGAGGTAACCTCTATGTAATCAGAGGGTTAAATAGGAAATTCATTTCATGGAGGTAAATCACTGTGGTTAAGGGCACAGACCACGCAGTAAAACTGCCTGCCTGCCTGCCTGCCTTCCTTCCTTCCTTCCTTCCTTCCTTCCTTCCTTCCTTCCTTCCTTTTCTTCCTTCCTTCCCTCTTTCCATTTCTTTCTGTCCCTCTCTCCCTCTCTCCTCTCTCTCCCTTTCTCTTTTTCCCCATCTCGCTGTCTCTCTCTCTCTGTGTCTCTCTTTCTCTCTCCTGCGCTCTCTCCTCTCCCCCACACCTCTCTATCTCAGATCACTTGGTAAACACCAAGACAAAAACCTGCCAAAAGAAAAAGGAATAGCTCACCACATTTTTCTAAGAACTTGAAACACATCAGGGAAGCGATTGTGCCATCTTATAAGAGTCACACTTTCCTAAGAATTTGACACAGTCAGAGGATTATGCTATCTTTCCACACTCATAGTTGGATGTGCCATGTGAAAAACCCAGCCAGGAAGGAGGTAACAGTGAGACACAAAGTTCTGTAGAAGACAAAAGCAGAACATAAGTCAAATCGTCCATGATGCTGCCTCCTGGAGCTGCCTTGACCATGATGAAATGTATCAGAAATTGACAACATTCCATGACACCACCATGGTTTCTGTGCTGAGGATGGACATTGGAAAAAAACGCACAAGTTAGAAAGTTGATTTCTTATCCTGCCTTTTCCTCTGCCTCCAAACTCTATTAAATCCAATATAAATGAAAATCCCAACAAGTGTTTACTTTTTAAAGCTTCTTCCCAGAATCAGTTGTACATTCTCTTCTTTCAGCATACTTTTCATTTACCTAGACTGAAAGTTTGATTCCCTCATGAAACGTGCTCTTCTAAAACTTTCCAAAGTATTGCATTTGATTGTCAGAATTGTCAGAAGGCAGGTGAGTTGTTGTGTAAACCTTAACCTTATACAATATCAATGTATCCACCTTAGAACAATTATAAATTCAAGATGCAATGTCTTTTTAAAATTATTCTTTTTTTTTGTTTTGTATTTTATTTTCTTCTTCTTGTATACTATCATTTCCCTAGAATCTCTTTTCCAAAATGATATGTTAGATTTGGAATTCAATGATGAAAGACAAAAATAAGTATTTAAATGAGGAAGTATGTATTTCCTCTGTCTCTTTTTATTTGTTATCCTATTCAATATGCAAAACCAGGCTGTGTGATCTAAATTAAGTTTTTTTATCCTCTAAAGCCTAGGTTTCATATCTAAAAATTAAGAATGATATTACCAGACTTGTAGGGCTGTTGTTTGCACACAAAGGAAGAATTAAATGTGATAATTTATAGACTCGCCTGAGAGCATAGTATTTTATTATTAGGTACTCAATAATTTTTTTTAACTTATCCTCACCTCCTCACCTCACCTCTGTAAATTTTAACAAAAGACAGGAGACCTGCATACTTACCAGTTCCTTATTCTGTATATTGAGTAGGGTAGAAATTTTAAAGACGCTCTAAAAATTTGTATCCTTGCTATCTTGCCATGTTATGGATTCCTGAATTATTTTATATTACTGGTCTTTTGCTCCATTGCCACCTTTCAGGATAAGGCTTACATCCATTATCTGAAAAGTCAGAGGTATATATTAATTATCTTGATTTATTTATATTAAACATGGACCATTTAATGCAATGTTTGAGTTAGTTTTGCAAATATCTCATTTCCTCCCATGTTCACAAAAGTCAAAATATGAAAATAACCTAAATGTTCATTTCATTGATGAACAAGTGGATAAAGAAAATATAGTGTGTGTGTATACATATATATACACACACACACACATATATATATACACACACAAGAAAAAAGTTTCCACAAGAACCTCCATGTTCTCATCTAGAATTTAATTTTTTACCTCACACACCTCTTTTTTTTTCTACTTCCACTTGACACCTTTCTGGGGTACTAGGTAAGTTGTACCTGAATTCCACTTTCTCCCTCAAAATATCTGTCTCAAATTTGTATATACATTAGTAGGTATCAATCAGGAAGGTCTCCCCCAACCCATTCAATAGGCCCTGCCCCCAAATTTGAAAAGTTTAAGAAATTCAGAGCCCTGATTATGTACATGGGTGTACATTTTTGCAGACATTTTTGCAGACAAAAATCCCCTGTGTTCTACCTACTCATCAATCTTCCCCCTTCCTATCAGTCTTCCCCCTTCCTATCAATCTTCCCCCTTCCTATCAGTCTTCCTCTTCCCCCGAATCATTGATAACAACTGATCTCTTTGTTTTCTTTGTCTTGACTTTTCTGGAATGTCATATAGCTAGGATAATATGATAGATTTTCCTACTGGCTTCTTTCACTTAGTAATATGCATTGAAGATTCCTCCATGTTTTTCATAGCTTGACAACATGTCATTTTATCCTCGAACCATATTCCATTGTATGAATGTACTGCAGTTTGTTTATCCACTCATCTTTTGAAAGACATCATAATTGCTTCTAATGTTTGGCAATTATGAATAAAGAAAATGTGTGTGCCAGTTTTTGTGTGTATATGTTTTCCACTTTCTACGGTTCCTAGATTGTGTGTTAATACTATACTTAGCTCTATAAGAAACTGTCAAGTTCCCCAGCCCAAAGGTGCAGGCTGCAGAGATGGAGTGGTCCAGTGTCCCGGAGGGCAGCAGCTCCCACCCCGGCAGTGTGGAAGGGGCGGGACTCCCGCTTGTCCCGAGGCTGTGGCAATCTGTGGTGAAGTTGAAATGCTTTTCTGCTAGACTGGCAACATGTTTTGATTCTTCTCAAATAACCTGCAAGCTGCTGTGAAGCACATCAGCTTACCTTGCCTTGAAGGAAACACACTCAAGGGCCCACAAATGATTAAACCCAGCAATTTATGTGACAATAGCATTTTTATTTTTCTTATCAAAATCTGGTTATTTGATCCACATAATGGTAAAGATTCCCAAGTTAGCCACCATCTAAATGACTCAAACTGATGATACTCTCTGCAGAAGAGGTAAGAACCACTGGCAGTAGGGTGGAAGGCATGGCATTACAGATAATGCTGACAGAGAAGGTAATCTGAGCCTACTTTATAAGAAAGGCGTGATTAAAGGAGAAAGGGGAAAGGGCATTCCAGGTTAGGAAAGATTCTGAACAAACGTAAAATAATATGAAGGTGTGAGCTGATATATTTAGGAAATAATGAATGATATGTGGGGGTATGTATCATCTGCAGAGGTGGGTGAGGGAAGATTCAAGTGGTGACGAAGGCTGGAGCTGCTGGTGGAAAGGCATCAGTGTATTTTAAAGGCCTGATGCTGGAGGCGGTAGAGAGCCTCTGTAAATCAGGCAGCTTCCTTACTCTTGCTCCTACTGATCCCTCAGTTTAAAATGTCCTCTTCTCTTTCTCTTTAGAGATAGAGGGAAAGGGAGTCAGACAATAATCTTCAGGAGGCCCTCCCTGGTTATTTCTTACTCCTCTGTTGATTTCCTTTAATCTGTGAAGTGTCTTCTAACTCATGGCCTGAGGCTTTACTGACTCTGCTGACTCATTGTCTGGTGCTACTGATTGTCTTCTATCTTGTGTCAGTGCCCCCTCTCCCCATCCCCACTGTTTTGGGAAGGAATTGGCTTTAGTTTTTACTCAGATTGAAATTTTATTTAGAAAGGGGAGTAGCAAGGACAGGTGCAATTAGTTACACCTGTAATCCCAGCACTTTGGAAGGCCAAGGTGGGTGGATTGCTTGAAGCCAGGAGGTTGAGAAATGGGCATAGCAACCAATGTCAATAGAAGAAACAGCATATAACAGGATGTGATAAATCTCAAGAAAAGTTATGCACAAATTACTATGGGATCAGGAACGAGTGAGCTGCCCGATGCTGTCAGTGAAGGCTCTGAGGGCTGGGAAGGATTGGCAGGGTTACAGGAGACAAATAAATGCTACAAATAACGTTCAAAGTAGAAGGCGAAGTGTTCAGTGTTGCAGATGCTCGATGACATACCTTAGGAGGGAACTGCAAATTAAAACAACAAGGAGAAACCACTGCATACTATTTGAATGACTAAAATCCAAAATACTCACAACATCCAATGCTGGCAAGGATGTGGAGCAACAGGAGCATTCATTCACTGCTGGTGAGAGGTAAAAAGGCATAGCCACTTTGGAAGGCAGTGTGGCAGTTTCTTACAGAGCTAAGTATAATATTAACATACAATCTAGCAACCATAGACACAGGACAAGTACTTGGACAAAGACGCCGCGGCCACAAAGGTTTCCAACCAGAAAATCAACACCCCAAAGATGCCGTAACATTATCTATGATCAATCTCCATCTGTATATTGAAATCAATCCACCTACCTCCTTAGGGATTTCAAGCTTGTAATTTTCTTTCTTTTGTTCGCTCTGGACACTATCAATTTCTTTTCATCTCCACTTGTTCACTCACCTTCACCTCCCAGTGTGGTGCAATATCTCTATGTTAAAAACAAGCAAAAGCCATCTTTTGTTTACCAAGGCCCCATACACATGATTCTAATTTTCTTATATTTCTTCTTAACATTTCTCTAATTTTCTTAACAGCAAAAACGTTCAAAAATCTCTCTGTGCTTACTGTTTCATCCTACTTTTCTTTTATGCTAATTAGGCTTTTTCCTTCACTATTTCTATGAAAACACTCCGGTCAAAGTCACCATTAACCTCCATCTGAACACATCTACTGGCTGGTTCTCAGAATTCATCTTATTCACCAGATAAGCATTAAAAAAACAACAACAACTGATTATTTCCTTTTCATCACATATATTCTTCACTAAAATATGTTGTTCCTTAGGACACCGTTCTCTTCGTTTTCGTTTTGCTTCACTCACATCCCAATCCTCCCTCAGATTTGGATTCCTCTTTAAATTAATTTAAAATGTTGTTGTGTCCCAGAATTCAGTTCTTTGTCCTCTTTTTTTTTTTTTTAATTCATCCTGGGATGAACTAAATTGGATAGTACCCATTGAATGGCCATAATGGGAGTTAATTTCTTGTAACCTCATGACTTAACAGCCATACATTGATAATGCCCAAAATTATATTTCCATACCATTGCTTGATCTCCAGAACCACATATCTGACTGGACTCTTGGCATATTGACTTTGATCTACTATAGAATTTTTTAACTTAACACATCAAAAAATGGGCAACTCCTCCCAACAAGTTTCTCCATCTCGATAAATGAATATTCCATACCTACTGTTCTTCCGCCAAAAACTTGGAATCATCTTTGACTTTTCCTGCTGCTCTCACATGAATTAAACCTGTCAGAAAATATTGTTCACCTTGGAAAATATGGAAACACAGTTATTAATTATGGAAGTATTGTTGATTGAGATACCTTAAAAGAAATACTGAGTTAGCATGATAGGAGGATTCATTCTCTCTCTGTTCTTTAACAGTCTTTCCATTCTCACATCTCATGCCTATTTCAGAGGACACTTTTAAAGTGGGGCCTAATTGGATAGTACCCG